TTTGGCACCTTACGCCCACTCATCTGAACTTTGTGTGAGCCTCAACTGTCAGGCAGCAGGATTGCCCGAGCGGACATGCCTGCAAGCATGACTGGCATGATTTTTAATTGAAATTAGCATACAAAATTTGATGTTGCCACAAATTTGATGCTGGGCTCTATTGAAAATTGAATGCCACCCTGTGGTGCCACAATGCAGACTCAAGCTGTGAGTTGCCAACTCATAATTACAACAGACTCTGATCGACGGCTAGGGGGCTTCAAGGAGGTAGTCTGGTGTGCTCTTTTAGCCAGGCCTTAGATCTGGAGCGCAGCCAGGAGGAAGCTGTGGAGTGGAAGTGGGACAGGCTAATCAGCAGCCCATCAAAATAGGCGGCAATTTGTGGTATTTTTGTGCCAGCCAAAACTATTTGACGGTAATTTTGTTTTTTTGCTGTCGCATGGCTTGAGGCGCCAGCCAACAGTGCCTGTATCCTGTTCATTGTCCTGCCAAATCCTGTCAAATTAAATCAAAATGAATCGAACGCTTCGCAACTGTTCGACTTTGACTTTGCTATCCATTCATAAACAAATAATCTATTTGACTAATACTTGTATGTATTACTTATAGGCAAGTTCTATTCTTAGAGCGTACTCCAACCCCCAAAACAACCCCCTTGTTCCATCCGTTGTCCTTGGGGCATATTGGACTTTTATTTACGCGTCATTTGGTCGTTTATGCCATTTTATGGCTGCCGCTCTCTAAAAACAGGATTTATTATGGCAACTTCTCAATCACAAGCCTAGTTCAAGTGGAACCAGAAATAGAATTGGGGAGTGCAAATCGAAATTCGAATGAAATTGGATGTTTTGCTTCGCCCCTTATCAAATGACAGCGCGAGCTGTAAGACATTAAAGATTGATGAATATCAAAAAGATTGTATGTGTATATATTGTCAAGAGTTTTGCGGATATATATTTTCAATTCTAAAATAAAGATACTTCGGTTCAAATGTATCTGGGCTTCGAGTCGCATACTTCTTTACTTTGCTCGCTCTCGGCTTGTCATAATGTCGGGGTTCATCCTTACCTCATGGGCATAGAAGCACTACTAATTAATTAAATTATAGCTATGCTATCAAGGGAGACAAAATAAAGTTAAACATTTGACGTTTAGAAGAGGCGGCAAAGAGCAGTGTGGACGTGGTCAAGAATTTGTTCTCCAATGGTTGAGGAGGCTCCTAGTAATCTACATTCCAAGTTTTGTAACTTTAAGCTTTTAAATGACGGGAGACATGGGCTTCTAACATTTTTAGGGTTGGGTGTGGTCTAACATTTTTGACTATTCCCCACTTTCTGAAGGGTTTTACATTTCACATTTGACGGCTGTAGTGGCCTATTTTATCACATTGTCTGACGCGGGCACAAAGAGTATATACTTGTCATATGTTTCAAGTTTCAAGTCTCGTATTTTAAGGGTGTTCAAAAGACAGTTACACAGCACGACGGACATTGCAAAAGGCAATAAACACTAGAGTAAAAAAAGCCAAAACGAAAGGTTGAAAGCAAAAATATTATTTCCAAAATATTATTCGAAACTTTCAGTCTGTTTTGTTGAAAATAAACTAAATATTCCCATTGAAATTCTAAATTACAATTTCTGAGTCGAAAATACTAATAACTGATCACAGCAGCAGTATATCTGTGCTAACGAAAGGCAAATTTATGTGTGATACTCCTTTTAGCCCTTTTCAGCAAATAATACAAATTTTAGATATCGATTTTTGCTTCATGCTGGGGCAAGCAAGAATTGAATCAATGTTGGGAGGATGTCATTTTGAATGGAATTCATCAAATATGCACAAAACGAATATACTCTTTTCGGTGTGAGAGCATAAAACTATTTAACTATGTAACTATGACACAATCTTGTGTTATCAAATGGTCTTTGAGGATTTCGCATCACTCTGAATCTTAGGCTGCTAACTAGCAAATGACAGCAAATGGTCAGCAACTAAGATAGCCTTTGCCATCTGAAGGAAACACACACTGAGATACACACACATGTGGAGACTCAGGGCCATTTCATGTCCGGTGATTGTAACTTTTGGGTAGTGGACATAAACAAACAGCACTCGGTGACAGTTCGAGGGAGGCGGCAGAGGCTGAGAAGAATGAGCGCATTAATTCCAGGCCAACACTTGAGCCACTTATTAGGCAGCCAGGCCAGCAACAGCAACAGCAACAGCAACAATGAAGCAAATTATGTAGTCCTTGAGGGGGGGTGGTTCGGGGCGTGGCACTGGCCACATAACTAGAGGCCGAGGTCAGGCAAATGGTGTTGCAAACAATAACTTTAGGCTTTTCCATGTCAACACACATTAATGCGACACCAGCCAGGAATCGACCAGCACATTGTTAAAATCGACAGAGGACAAGGTGAAGAGATAAGTGCTAGGGCGGAGACGATGGGCGGGGACGGGTACGGAGACGGGGACGGGATAAAATGCGTTGGCAGCCACCATGCCACCGAAAATAGCCATGCGACTTAACCAGAAATACACCCCGACCCGTGCTCGACCCAGTGCTCGAATAATGTTTCCTTTATTATTTGCGCACTTCCAAGTCCTTGAAATATGGGCTGGCAGTGAATTTCACTTGGCTTCGGGGCCTTGACGTATGCAAAATTGTATGTTGATAAACTTATCAACGACAACATTTGCATTGTTATGCGGGCTTTCATGTACTGTGCTGCTTCTGTTATTCTCTGTTCGTTTTTGTGTCCGGATGTTGCCGATAAGTCGCTCGGAAAGTCGACTTTTGATGCTGCCCGGGCAAGTTTGTCCTTTCTCTTGTTCAGAAGTGCAAAGTGAGAAATGAAAAGTGTTGCATAATTTGAGTCGCTTCCGGCAAAACTTATCTCTCCCCGAGATCAGCATGCTGCTCGCTGCCACTTATAAGTGCTGCACAAATACTCAAACCATTGAAAAGTTATTTATTTTTTATTTTTATTTATTTATTTTTTTGCTACAGCGCTACAGCTTTCACTTAGCAAATTAACGAAATAAATAAATAAAGTTTACGTTTTTTAGTTTAGTATCGAATTCAAATCCATTTCTCAAGTGCTTGGCAAATTAGCAAAAAGCTAAAAAGGTCAAAACTATTTTTAATTAGGTTTTATTAATATTATTTAAATAGATTTCCTTAGCACTATTTCTATTTGTTTGACCAACAGCTCTTGCTTCCCTCAATTGGAAATATATCCATATATCTGATATTCCTAGACAACAGTTTTAAAATAAATGGGTAAACTTAACCAGCTGAATAAAATGTATAATATTTATTCATAACATTTCTTTTGGCTCTTACACAAATTCGTAGCCGGTAATTTATGTCTTTATGTTTAACTTTAATTATATTACCTAAATTACCAGAGTACATTACTCAACCTTAACATTTATTTTCACTCCATTCTGTTCTTTTTATTATTATTTTTGAGTTTTTTTTTCGTTAAAAATTTTAATCTGTGTACACAATACACGCAAGCAGGATTACCAATACATGAGTAGCAGCAAAAATATTCCCATAAAAGGCATATTTTTTGTAAGCTTTTGCAGTTTGGATGGAGTCATGCAGGCCGTGCGGGGCCTTCGGGGTTATTAGCTGGGCATTAAGGCATTAAATTGCGAAGCTGGTTATGCTTGAGTTTACCTCCGAGCCCTCTTTGCATATTTCAGCATCTGTAAATCATGGCGTATGAATTTACTAATTTACACACTGCCCCAGACTTTAATTAACCATTATACCGCACGCCTCAACATTTAATAAAAAAAAAAAAAATATGAAAAATAAAAAGAAAATTGTTCGAGGTACGCTGAAGACAACATTGCCTTGCAGACCTTGCTTATATTAAAAATTGTTTTTCTTGTTCATTTGAGATGTTTACAAGTAAAATACAAAATTTTTACTTTATATTTTATTCATAAAATTAATGAATAGGCTTCTGCATCAATTAATGACTGCAAAGAACGATGAAGAAAATTAAATCAAGGTAAGAAAATGCAATATTTTTGATTATGGAACCTGAAAACCAAAAATAATTACCAAGAAAAGGCCAAAATGTTTCACTCTTTATTCAGATGTGATTTTTTTTAACAAAAGCCAATGCAGAAAATATTGCAATTTTGAATTCATATTTTTTTTATTGCTTAATATGTTGTGCACTAGCTAGAAGTTGACGAGGGTCATAAGGAGCTGCATCATCTGGCACTGCTGCTGCCAGTTGAATGTGAATAATATGAGCTTCCTGAGCAGCATCTAGCCAAGCATCAGCTCATCACCATTCATGAAAATTTCTTACTACAGCTGCCAATTTTGTTTCGAATTTTCGCTGGCTCATCAGCTCAGACATTGACTATGACAGGGAGTAGCTGACGGCAGGGTCTAGGGCTGCAACTGCCCAAATCTAGAGATTTGCCAACGAGCAGATAGCTGGCTATGAAGTTGGGTTTTTGTGAAACAATTTTCGGCGAAGATATGCTAATTGTGTGGTGTAATCCTTTGGGGCATCAGTTTAGACTTCATCAGGCTGACTTTAGTTATTCTGTGGCAGTTTCAATGCCCCGCTTCTGGAACATGCTGTCGACGAGCTGTTAAAAGTTTTCACATAAAAAAATGGAAAAAAAAAATCGGGAAAGGAAAAGGAAATTTATGAATTAATTCTTTTAGTGTGCTCAAATTTAATACCAAGACAATGTTGAGAAAAGACAGTCTGTGCGAGTACGTTTATACTTAGATATTTTGCTTTAAGTACGATCAATTATATTTAATTCCACTGACAACAATTTAAAAAATTATTTAACAGAAAAATTAAATTGTATTTGATGTTTGCAACATAATTGGAATAAAATGTGACAAGTAAAGAGTGAGGCGAAGGAGAAGAATTAAATTAGTAAGTTGAGAAAAAAATCAAATTATTTAAAGTTGGACCTCCCGAAATGCCATTTGACTCGTCAATATCGATTTAATTTTTATGGTTTATTTAGAATAAACTTCGCAGTATTTTAAAGCATTTCACCAAAGTCGACACTTTCCAGATGGATGCATATTATCGTCATCTACACGGCAACCGTGTGCCTCGGCAAAGGCTGGTAAGTTGATCAACATTTGATAGACACGGATCTCATCGGAATCGTGTTCTCCATCATCAGCTAACGGTTCCTTGCTGCAAAAATATTGCATGGAGCTGAGAAAGAAGAGCTGCTTCAGTGACAGATTCGAGAAACTGGGCTGTGCCCGATTGAACCCTGAGCCAGGATCAAAGTAAACGTCATATGCCAGACGAATGCCAGCAATGTCCGCCTCACGTTCATCCATTCCCACTGTTTCATACTGTTCGAGACAGCTTAATGCCGCCTCATACCGACTTCCACTGGTGATCTTGAGTATCTGCTCATTGTAGTTTCCGTCTCTATCAAAGTTCAATCCAGTTGAGTCGAAGCCGTGCATCAGCTCGTGGCTGAGGTGGCCCAGCAGGCCAGTCTTGAATATATCGTGGGCATCGGGCTGGAAAAAGGGCTCCTCAATTATGCCATAAGGCACAACGATGGTATTCTGTCGTTGATTATAAAACGGTGTTGACACCATGGCCGTGCCCGAGTCCGGCAAGATCAAATCGAGGGGTCTATCCAGCTGCTCCAATCGGCGGCTAGTACGGAACTCTAACAAACGCAATTGATTCTTGGCATAGTCATGATTTTCAGGCAGCTGCAGTCCGTCATAGAAACTGGTAACAATGCTGAAATGATTTGCATTCATCGGAAAACTGCCAATGCTGATCTTCATTTTCCTCATCTTGTCTCGCAGCAATTTCCGTTGACCACGCTTCAGGCTCAGGTGATTAACCTCCAATATTTTGTAGAACTGTTGCCGCAGCAGCTCAAACAGCTCCAGGACATTCTCTTCAAGTTGCTGCAATTTGTCCGGGACAATGAATCGCTGCTCGTAAAGCAGATTTGTCGCTGGCAACATGTGACGTCGCAATTCCTGAACGCAATCAATGGACTTTGGGCTATCCATGGTCTCCTCCTCCAGATACGAGACAAAGCGCAACATAATGTAGGTAGCTATTACCTCACCATTCCACCTGGCGAGTGTCCGGTTTAACTGCTTTAAATATGCCACATTACCAACTTTCAGCACAAAGTCAGCGGACACGGCGCGATCCAGCAAAGTTTCTAAATATTTTCCCCAATGTCCTGTTTGTTGCTCCAGCTTGTGCACTGTCATCTCATCAACCGCTTCCTTTGATTGTGAATTCAAAATCATTTTACGCACCGATTGCTCAAATATCGTGACTTGTTTTGCCAGAGCGTCTGTATTTCTATCGTTAACACCCAGCTCGAGTAGCTTCCGACTGAGGTCGGTCGGCAGCTGTGATTCGGTTTTGAAATTGGGTCTCTCAATGTGTATAAAGTACTTGCTGCTGTTGTACATGTCGGGTTGCACATCCAAGTCGAAGAACACATTCGTCAGTCCGAAGCGTCGCAGGCGCGCCAATGTTTCCATCCACTCAAATTTGCTGTTGTCCCAATCTTCCCATCGGTGCTTGAACTGCGGCCAGGGTATTTTTACATTTGGCGGCACCAACTCCAGATACCCTTTGCTTGAACGCGTCGAATTCGCTGCCTGGCGACACGCCTGATAGAAGCTCAAGACCTTGGCTTCCACACTGCTTTGCTGCTGCTGCTGCTTCTGCAGCAACTCAGCCATGAGCCTAACCAGATTCTCATTAACATTGCGATCAATCAATCCCATGGGGTCGAAGAAGTCATCATTCTCATGCACTTCAGTCCACTTGCCACACGCGTATTTGTAGTAATCATCGCACACAGGCACACTCTCGTCCACATAGCTAAGCATCTGATTCAGTAGCAGTGCATCGAGATTATTTGCCTGGCTACTCGCAGACACAATACACATTAATATTAAAATCAATCGAAAAGTGCGACAAACTGATGCTGGTGTCGACATTGTCTTTAACGAACTGTTCTCGGAGCACGGCTGTGTTTTAGCTTTAAACTGATCATCTTATTTATGTTCAGCAACTCAGAGAGATAAGACCCATTAAAAAAAAAAAAAGTTAAAAGTCATGCAGATAGGATTAGCTATTTGTTGTATTAATTTCAATATAATGGAACTGTTTTGTGTGATGCTGTGATTTCAATATTCTCTCATTGATTCGCGTGTCAAATAATTAATGTGCTCTAATAAATTAACAAAACAATTGAGGGCACTCGTAAAAGTAATAAAATCTTAATCTCTTGTTTAAAAGTATATATAGCTCATATATATATATATATATATGGGAAGTTATGACGCATTAGCGATTTGAGAAATTAATTGAATAAAATTTATAGACATGAGTAAATCAATGCTTCAAAGGATGTACACATTCATAAGAGCGATAATTACTTATTTGTTTAATGTCACAAAATACAAAAAATATATAACATAATAAAATAAATAAAATGTCAATTAAATTTAAATCAAAAGATACGAAATATTTACAAGATATTTATAAGATATTTATAGTATAATATGCAAAACGAGAAAAAACCCAATCAGACCAAAAATAGTTTGTATGAATTAGTTAAATATTATTCACAAGACGCTTATGATTAAGTTCTTAAAAATTGAAATAGTGTTAGTATTAGAGAGTTAAAGTATTTCAGAGTACTCGAAAAGGTTCTTCTGCACAGATTCCAATCAACTTTGATGAATTGGATATTGAGTATACCACACACAAGAGAAGTGAAAAGGATCTTCATCGTAAAAGCGTCATCAAATTCCTTTGACCAACGCTTAACAAAACCAGGAACTTGTGATATGACTATGAAATTTTAACATATGAACCAGAATCTTAACATATGAATCATTTACTATATTCAATCTATCAAGTGACATCCCTTCCAGCATGTATCTAACCACCTGAGGAGAAATACGATTGAATGCCATGACCTTACGGACAAGTTCAAGTGGAGCAAACTCAACTTAAACCATGGGAGAATAGAAAGTAAGTTTACCTGCAGTAAGCATTGAGAGGTCATATCATTATAGGAAGGTCATTAATAAGGTGTCATTAAACAGGTGGCTGCCCTGGGATACTTCATATCCCCGATCAAATATATACCAAACTCAAATCTTCTTCCTATCCAGCATGTGTGAGATTATCACTAATTAAATTCATTGATGCCCATTCGCTGGGGACAATTGAAGTTGTTACTGAATCGTGTTTAATACTTGCTCTGCATGTTAAATTAGTTATTTTACAGAGACTATTAAGACTAACATTTACAATAAATTGTTTCTAAGCTTCAACCTCATAAAGTCTATATAAAATATATAAGAATACTAACTAACCCAAGTAAACTTTTGTTAAAATAAAGAACCCAAACAGTTTACATGAAAATCGAGCATATCAAACAATTTTGTTGTTTACGAAAATCTCTTTCAAATGTGTGTGGCAAATGTACCTTGAAGAACCCAATAATTGGCAAAATATGCGTTGAACATGAATGAAGTTCGCATTTTATTTAATTGTTTTCTAAATTTGAGCTTCAATTGAAGAGTATTTAATTTGTTTCTTGTATTATTATTATGTTTTTAGAGACGGCTCATTTAGTGTTAAGGAAATACAGCATCGAAAATAGATATCCAATTTTACGCTTTAATTAACATTTTAATTTTTGCCTGAGGCGACACATTGTCAGAATTAATTTTCATTGCATGTGTGAAGATAACCTCTATAAGTTTATTTTTTATTGATGAACTTTATTTTATTTTATTTATTAATTATTCAGAATGTAGACTTTCTTCTGGTCATTTTTTTGCCAATTTGTCTAAAGCTTTTACAATTGTATACTAAATTACACAAACTCACCTAACAACCTGGCAGCCGTCCTCTTCTGTTGATTACATTTTTTTGGAGTTTAGTTTCTAATTCATCGTAAAGCGTTCAAAACAAACTTTAGATTGCAGCTAGAGTAATGGAATTTTGTGTATGCATATTTTTTGCGATTGTAGAACATCCATTTAAGCCAAATCTAACACAAAATTCTATTGTCAACTTGTGGTACACAAAAGTTGTTCTATTTATGAGGCAATAGCAGAAAGGCCTTTACAATGTACGAAGGCCCACACAACTAAAAGAGGCATAATTGTGAAAGACGATATTTCCAGAAGTTTTACTCCATATCTGGCTACACCCATAAAAAGCTACATTGTAAAATGCAGCTCAAACTCATCCCGCCAAATGTGGAGTATGTTGTTTGTGTGTGTGTCCGTTTACTTATGTTAAGTGAAGTGGAATGCTGTGAAAATGGGAAAAGTAAACGATAAAGGCAACACGAGACATCTAGCGATGTCAGGTGTGGTATGGTCAGAGGAGCGGAGGAGGGAAGGGAATCACTTGGTAGAGACGAAGATGACTTTGATTTCGTAGTGATATTTTATTGGCAGCTGCTGGCGCTTCTGTCAGGCATCCCAACTTATTTCACAGCTGAATGGCACAGAGCAGAGCGTGATATCATTAGAGTTTCATGCATGAGAAATGTGGGCGATGAGCAGCACTTCTATCACGCATATACAGATAGATGCGTGTATAAATGAGATACTTCTCTACATGCGTTGCATGTGTGCGAATCAAGACAGAAAGTTGCGAGAGTAGCATTCTTTGTTAATTACTTACAGAGCTGGGAATATTTTTAATTGGATGCCGCTGCAAAATGATGTAGCAGGAAAGAGTAAAAAGCTTTAGTCAATTTATGTAATTTGTTAATGTATATTATAAATAAATCAGAAGTCTCTGCCGTTAAAATTGTGCCTTTTATTGGTATCAAAAATTGCATAAGTACAGATATTTATACGAGAACTAATATTCCATTTGAGATCCGCGTTTTCATACATACAAAAATATATATATACTCTATGATTGTTCCTTCCGTCTGTCCGTTATGCCTTTGTTTTACGAAATTTGAATGGGTTAATTGTATAAATAGTGAAAATTAGAGATACGTGCAAGTAAAAATTGTAAAAATGTGTGCAGTTATCGATAATTAAATCAATTAGGAAATTAACATTGCATATTGTGGGAATGAGTAAGTTCAAAAACTTACAATTTTCAATTACTTTTAAATGGGAATTGCCCTCTCACCAAATGCCTTGGTTGACTTCATTTAAAAGTACAAATAAATTTTATGCATTAAATATCGAAACAAATTGGAGAGTATATTAATCAATCATTACAAAAATGTTTAAAATTGAAATGAATTCAACTACTTTAAGGTTGGATTGGATTACTCTATTGTTATGATAATTATTGTTTAGCGCTGAGCAAATTGGTTTCAGTAATAATGAAAAGCGTTTGTGAAATGTATGCAACATTTTATTCCATAATTCGTTGGCTAATTGAAATGAGGAATTGTGTTGGCCGCTCGCAAAACTCAATTTTCGTGTCCAATTTGCATTTTTGAACAATTTAATTGGTTTCGCCCAAGGGCATGCTCTCTCTCAACCTCAACTTGCTCCCAATTTGTATATCTCAATCTCTGTCTCTGTCTCTCTCTCCCTCTCTCTGTCTTCTAGTGTCTCTCTTCATCCCTTGCGCCAACAGTTCAAAACATTGATTACCGTTTTGAAATCCCATGTGGTTCACAATAATTTTGCAGTTTTTATTTTGTTCGTCACAGAAAAAATATACCGTTAGTGAGGCAGAAAAAAACGGGACGAGTAAAGGAGAAGGGAAGCAAATTGGCTGCTGGGTATGCAGGCAAACATATTTCGATGACAAACGCAAAACAACGCACAAACACACTCACACTGGCACACACACACACACGCCTTGAGCATGTAGACAAGAGCGAGAGAGAGATAGAGCGAGAGAGAGAAAGATAGTGAACCGATTTTCACATGAAATTTTGCAAATTCTCAAGTGTATGCAAAAAAGGTACACCATGCACTTTGGCAGTCTGCGAAATGGGACTGGTTTGGGTTCGGATCTAGTCCTCAAGACACACACATTACAAAATACTCATCCAACCAAAGAACTGCAAATTTCGTTGTTGTTATACACTAGCAGAGAATATTAGTGCTGTGAAGCTAAAAAAAAAAAATTCCATTTAGATGTTGATATTCATCAGCATTAGCAATGAAGACGATATAATAATAATTTCCATACGTTCCTTTCTATGCGAATAATTGCATAAATTTCGATTCGCAACAAAGGGTCGCCATTTTGGAAGCGTATTTGAACTTCGTTGTGCCCAAAATAACAGGACTTTTGTTGTTTTTTTTTTGTTGTGGTTGGGTTAGGCGTGTGTTGGAATTGTGGAGAATGTGGTTGTGGTGAGGCTCTTATGCGGCCACAGATCAACGGTTGGCTATAAAATTATACGCATTCTATGATGTAGTTAGGAATCCGCTAAGAGACGCCAAATTGAGTATTAATATTTTCGTTCTGCGGTGAATATACATAAGTAACTAACAATGAGAGACTCAACTAAATAATACGATTTTTGTTTGGAACCGCAACTAAAAAAATCATAATCAGGCTTATAACCATATTTTCGTAAATAGAATTTATAATTAAATTAAATTTCAATTAACTTTTAATTTTGTTTAAGAAGCTCAAACTAATTCTTAATCCGGTACGGAGAAATATTGTTTTTAAAGCTAGAATTATGCGAGCATCTCAGCCAAATAAGAAAAAAATCGTCCACAAAATATATATAATATATATTTTTTATTATGATATTATTATATTGTATTGCTAATATAAATGGAGGGTGAGTTAAGCAACACACTTAAATTTCAAAGAATTTGAGCTATTACTTACTGATTGGTGTTATTTTTATAGATTATTAGATGAGTAATTGGTACAGAAGAGTTTTTAGCGATTTGAATTCTTAAGGTAGCCAGTAGTT